TGTCTTTATAAGGTTGATTAGAGATAAAGAGAAAAAGATACATGTAATAAATAACGTTAATAAGACGATTTATTGCAGGCTTTTTAAGAGCAAAGAAACCTTGACTTGTGCTCCATATGTCTGGATAATCTCTCAATAACGTAAAGATATTTTCAATATATTTTTAATATATTATTATATATAAAATTTCTGAGCTTTTCAACATTCGCGTCTTTAAACTCCTAAACTCTACACGTATAAATTTTCGAATTTTTTAATTTTCTAATTTTACACATAAATTTTCCAACTTTTAAATTTTTGAACTTTCAATGTTACAAACTTTTTCCTAATTTTATATTCCGTAGTATTTCGATTTGCTTTCAAATTTTCCACGAGCACCGTATCGTTGCGTATTGTTTCCGATTTCGTTAAGGGTAAATTCGCTTCCTTCCTTTAATTATCGCGAGGATCGGTCGTTTTCTCTGTGAAACGCGCGTTATTCGCCAACAAGAATACGTTACGAAGAGAAAGCAGAATATCCGACATGATCTATCAACATCGATGAATCATTGGACGTCTTAATTATTCCTCGGGCTTTCGAGTTATACGGAACAAAGCCAGGCGATTGGCTCGGATCCTTGCATAATCGCACAACTCATCATCGATAGACAATTCGTTATTAATTTCATTTCCATAATGAATTTATTATAGTCATAATTTATATGTTTATCATCTGCGTGTAGAATTACTTCGACGAACAGAACGAGATGGCATTAGAAATGAAATTAGCAAAATTACAAAAAAATTTCTTCTTCGAAAAAAAAAAAAAAAAGAAGAAGACAAAAATGTGGAAAGGAAACGATCAATTACGCCAAATGTTTGAATACTTTGAATAGTGATAATTATTTAGTATTTATCAAAGTAGTACAGAGGAATGGTGCATAGACAGGTGAATTAAGATCGTATCTCGCGAGTTAATTTGCGTGCCTTCCGTCACACGTTTCAAGGTACAGAAGCACTTTCCGTCACACACAAACTGAGACACTAGATCTTCCAGTTAATTATCTGTACGCGAGCGATAGCGTAATTATTTGTACGCGAGCGTAAACTGTGTCTCCGTATGCAAGGTATTATTATATAAATGTCTCTATTGCGAACGTGATAGATAAACGAGACAGTTTCGAACGCTCGCACATAGTACAATTGTTAATAAGAATAGATTGCAGAGTAACTTTCGTAAGAAGAGAAATCAAATGGCGTCCCAGATTTCATAAGTGATATTTGTGATCTGAACCAGTGGGTAAATCACGTTAAATAATAAATTGCACTTTTTTTTCTTCTTCGATATTTTATTATCATACGTCTCGATGATTAATCCACATCTAAGTACACGTTTCTTCACGCTGAATGGTCGTTTCTGTTTTACATAATTATCGACCTCGATGTTTTCAACGTATGTCGGAACTATCCCTACACGCTCCCCCGTGGGAGGATCTGTACACCTAAATTCTTATGGTAAACAAGACAGCTTAATTAAATATTAATTATTACATCGAGGATCGCCATGCACGGATAGTCCTCATGTTCGAATTAACTATCTCGCAGACAACCGTAACCAATGCCCTTGCGTTTAAGGAATCCGTGTGACATTCTTAACGTTGAAAAATTTTTCGACGTTCTGTCTATACATTTCAATTATACGAGTAATTTCATGGTGTTTCAACATTGTAGACAATGATTCCCTCCCCCCCTCTCTCTCTGTTAATGCGCTGGCCTCCACTTTTGCCCGAGGTTGAGTCCAGACTGTTCGAAGAAACGAACTAGAACAAGGGCAACATTATTGCGCCACAAAGTATCCTTTTTTTCCACCAAATCTTTACGATGTTGTTCGACAGCTGTTCAGATAAAGATTAGATTTCTTCTCTTACGTATCGTTTTATCTTCATGGTTGTTGTTCATGAAGCCATACTAGAGAAAAATAAAGAAAGAAGGTCTCCTGAAATGAGAGGAAATCGTAAGGAACGTTTTGCATATAATGCGCAAGGAGTTGAACGGCACCGCGCGTAATTTTCAAATTACTGTTACTGCAATGCGAGTGCGAGAGCCAGCCGATAAAGTCGTCATTACTCATATTGCAGCGACGTGAAACCAGCGTAAAGATTATAGTACACAAGACCACACCTGCGATGCAAGGCTAGATTCTTATCTAGTTGCCAGTATGCCGATACTGTAGGATTTATTTCGCCACGTTCCGCTAATTTTTATACGTTCTCTTATCGGTCATTTCGTTAATCCCCCAAAATTGCTTCGCTAGATCGGAGTTATTTTATCATTTCGATTATCGCTTCTAGCGATCGAAACACCAATCTGAATAATTTAGCTGGTTTTTATTTCAACCACGCCGGTGAGTGAACGCTTGCCCCCGTGGCAACACTATTCAAAATTCGAAACGTTAATTTTTTACTGAATCATCTGGTGAAAAGTTACGATTTATATCGATCTTTAATTATTAAGCTTACTTTTACGCTTACGTTGCCGCTGTTTCTCTCGCCGTCATCCCCTAAATCAGCGTACACTCACATAAAACAAGGATATGGTTTTAACGATATCCATCATAAACCCCGTCGTTCTTCCCAATGAAGTTCTCTCACGTGCTAGTAATTTATTACCCTCGATTTCATTCTATGTTTAGAGGCGTGACGAACGAACACATCTGCATTATATATTCGTACGACACACTAGAGAACAACGAGAGTGCCTCGTTCAATAACAATATCACTTTAATAGAGAGACAAGGCTTGCATTCGATTAGTCAAAGGGAATCGACAACAGGTGCCATTAATATCGCACGATAAAAGGGAAAGCTACAGGTCGAAAAATAGAAATCACTCTTCGAATGATTCATATATCGTACGCATATAATGTTTCCGGAATTTTTCGGAGAATAATTTCGCCAACACTTTTTCACTCTTATTCTGATTGTAAGATCTCGAATCACTTTCTGCTCGCGCGGCCAACCTATTTTCCAAGATCTTATGCGTTACGTGAGTCAATCGTTAAAGTATACGATGCATTTATAAAAATCGCTCGCCTCCGTCGAACCTGATAAATTGAAAATTAATCGAGCTGTTTATTTGCATATTTGATGTACGTGAATTTTCCAAATATCTGTGTGCAAGATCGAAAACAGGGTATAATTACGATTAGCAATTTATCCCACTTTTTTTCCCTATTCGAAAAATACGTAGTTTAACTATGTATCTATGTACACTCATATCAAGGGCGAACAACGTCATTATGCATATTTACAGTATCTGGGTTTCAGTTAAATGTACATGATAAGATATTGCGAAATATACATATTTATAATATTGTGATCCAGAATTTTCCATGAGTTCATAATTAAGAGACTCACTGATAAATTGTGGAATTCGATTATTATTGTAGAATTCAACTTGTTAGTCCTTAAGTTAATTAGCATGAAATTGTAATAATAATCAAAGAAAAAAAAAAACTATTTAATGCAAGGAAATCAGTGGAGATCACACCTTCGGTAATTACTGGCTTCGGTGATTACGTGAATCGCGCACACCCATTGGCATGTCGTGATTTTTTCTCCGTATATTAACAATTCAAATAGGATTGCCACAATATCACGTACCGGAGGCCTGCCTGGCTGGTGACCAATAAGATCATCGACTGTTAAAGAGAAATATCATCGGCTGAATGCGTTTTAACTGTCCACCTTGGAGGAATTATAGCTTGTGATGACGTTTGTTAAGAAATACATGTCACGATCGACCAATCCGTAAGAAATGCACACGTATGCAGGATTAAGTGTTGCTTGCACAGCGGAAAATCGATTCATGGCAGATCATAGTAATTATACACGAAGGGGAAAGGTAATCCAATGGTAAGTATAAGAACCACCCTCGGAAAGGTCTTGGGGATAATATCGAAGCAGAAGCGGAATGAAAGAAAGATAAGAGGATTTCTTTATGGATTTCTTTTATTTCTGATTTTGTGTAATTAAGTTCTTCCAATAGGGTTGAGGTTTATTGTTTTATATCGGAAGGAAGTAAGATGGAATTGAGTTTCATTGGTATTTGCAATATATGTATAATATATTATTTGGAGAATATAATAAACATCGTTAGAATTCCTGATGATAAAGATATTAGGGAAAAATATGTCTATTTAATTTGTAAAATTCTGTAGAATATTCGATAGAAATATCATATTTTCTGTAAAAATTTTCTATAGAAATTTTTATAATTTATAATTTTATATTTTTTTTTATATTTTTCTGTACTCTATAGAAATATCATATTTTCTTTTATTCATCATATTTTCTTTCTATTATCATATTTTTCTTTACTCTTAAAATTAAATATTTTATATTTTTACTTTCTCTGTGTTCCCGTTATCTCTGAACTCTGAATTTTCTGCGATAAACAAAAATAAATATTAATTTAAGCGCAATAAAAAACAGAAATAGACAGACAACAATGAAAATGCATTTCTGTAACAGCTTATTAGATTTAAGTATGTATAAACCTTGAAACAGTAGTATTGTACGGTTGACATGTCAGAATGTAATGAAATTACGTGACTTGTAATTTTCATTGATGTACATGATACGTAATACACAATGCACGTAAAATAACTTGCAAGTGTATAAATTTAGACAAAAATATTTTAAATTAAGCATAATTTAATATGTGATATATAATCAAAATTTATATACTATTTTTAATATCTGAGGCTAATATTTGGATATTTGGATACGTGAAACACGAAAGACACATAAAATATTATCTTCTTAATAATACATAAAATTATAATTACTTTAATAATCGTTAAATATTTATATAAGTCCAGTACGCCATCTGTTGTAATATTTCGCAAACTTTTTAATCGTACGTATCAACCGGTATTGCCGATCAATGATTACCATCGACACAGCATAGATATATATTCATATACTTTATCTGTATCACCGTTGTTCCAACGTAGAGTGCGCTAAAAAACCAATGATTTTTTAGTATGTCGATATTTCATGTCACGGACCTCGTCCGTGCCAGTGATATTTTTCTTGGTCGGTATTTCAGACTCTGAGACACAAAACCTTATTTGATGTCCGATCTATCCCAATGGTCTATTCATATATTTCGTCTGCGATCATGTACGCCTAGAATATAACAGCAGATGGTAGCACAAGAGTTCTTCACAGATTCTGTGAAAATGTGTGGGTAGTATCATTGACTACAGTCAGTGATAGTATGAAGTAACTATCTCTTGGTTGTGGCAGTACACAATTCCACGCGTCATATATGGTCAGACGTGCAATTACATTCGTTATGATATCCTATTAAACATTATGTATCATAACAATTTATAATAATTTATGCAATTGATGTACGTTTCGATGTTATCTTATGGATTTCACATCTTGTTACCAGACGGCCTAAATACAACGAAGTTATGTAGTTTTGTGTCAGCATTGCTTGTGTGTGGAATTATGGTTATATTTAGTATATGACGACTACAGTGTTTTGAAGCACCGAAGCACTGCCACTCCTCCAGTATAGTATTTACACAGTTTTCTTGTTGTATTTCTAAGTGAAAAAAAATGGAAGATATATTTCAGTGGTGTCGTGAAGGGAATGCTATGCAAGTACGCGTTTGGCTAGATGACACCGAACATGACATGAATCAAGGGTAAATATAGAAAAAATCCGCTTTCCCGAAAGCGCTGTCTCTCTTTTCCATCTCTTTATTATTTCCTTTTTAAAACCGTTATGGGGATCCTGCTCCTTTAAATACCTTTTGAATGCTTTTTTGTATTGCTTGGAATATTTTATTTTGGAACAGGTCTTTTTGATTATAATAATAGTAATTTCAAAAGTATATTTTGCTTTTGTTAATTCTTGTTATTATCCTTTCATATTCTGTCTTAGTTATAAACTATAAACTTTAATACAAGTTTGATTTTATTTATGATTTCATATTCTATGTATAGTGATGATCATGGATTTAGTCCACTCCACTGGTGTTGCAAAGAAGGACATTTAAAATTGGCAGAGTTATTAGTTAGCAGAGGAGCACGTATTAATGCAACTAACAGAGGAGATGACACCCCTCTTCACCTTGCTTCTGCCCATGGACACAAGGAGATAGTTCAATTGGTAAACTAAATATGATTAACTATTGGACAGTAATATTATAGAAGTGAAAATAACTATATTGTTTTTAAGAATTTACTGAAATTTATTTTTACAGTTACTTAGAAATCGAGCTGATGTCAATGTCACAAATGAGCATGGTAACACTGCCCTCCATTATGCGTGCTTTTGGGGTGATCAAGCAGTTTCTGAGGAATTAGTGGCTGCTGGTGCTTTGGTATCTATTGCAAACAAAGATGGTGATACTCCATTGGATAAAGCAAGAGGCCATTTAGCTAAAAGATTACATGGTATTTAATAATTAACAGAAAATCATTAAACATATATCAATACCTCTGTGTCATGAAATTAATTTTTCAGATCTAGCTGTAGAATATGGACAAGACTTGAAAAAGATTCAGTTTAAAGATCAGAGTTGGCTGGGTTTAAAAACTAGAAGTCGTGAGTAATATTATATTGTATGTATCTGAGAATATTAAATAAGACTGATAATTACTAAGATTTAGTTATACCATTTAGGTGATGCTACACTGTCAAGGCATAAAGGAATAAACATGGCAGATCTTTCTTTGCATACTCATTTGGCAAGTACACCAAGTGGTGAGACATGGCGAGGACGTTGGCAAAATAACGACATTGTAGCAAAAATTTTGAATATTCGTGAATGTACAGCTCGAATTTCAAGAGATTTTAACGAAGAATTCCCGAAATTAAGAATTTTCTCACATCCGAATGTACTGCCTGTGCTTGGTTGTGTCAATCAACCACCACAATTGGCGACAGTCTCGCAATATATGGCGCGTGGAAGTTTACACAGACTTTTACATGGAGGTACAGGTGTTGTGGTTGACACTGCTCGCGCACTTAGACTTGCTCTCGACGTTGCAAGAGCCATGGCATTTCTTCATGGGCTTGAAAGACAAAATAGATGCAGATTTCACCTCAATAGTAAACATATCATGGTATGTTCTTGTTCTTTTTAAGATGGTATAATATTATTATATAAGAATTTTGATAATGAATAAATTTGATATTTATAGATTGATGAAGATTTAACTGCTCGTGTCAACATGGCAGATTCCAAATTTTCATTTCAAGAGGTGGGTCGAATTTATGAACCCGCGTGGATGTCTCCGGAAGCTTTAAGTAAACGTCCAGCAGATATAAATCTCGAAGCCAGTGATATGTGGAGTTTTGCCGTTTTGCTATGGGAACTTGCTACTAGAGAAGTTCCATTTGCTGATCTTCCACCAATGGAATGTGGCATGAAAGTCTGTTAAGATTTATATACATATTAATCATTTAATATATATTTAATATATATCATTCATTCATTGTATATATTTTTTTTTGTTGCTTGTTATAGATCGCACTAGAAGATTTACGTGTCAGTATACCTCCAGGAATCTCACCGCATCTTGCTAAGCTTATTAGAATTTGCATGAATGAAGATCCAGGAAAACGCCCGTCTTTTGACATGGTCGTTCCTATACTCGATAAAATGAAACGCTAATTTTTGATACAATTTTCATTCCGAAAAAAAGTAATTGAACTTACTGTAAATTGCACTTACTAAAACATTATGAGTACAGTGTCAATTAATCTATCTGGATGCCTTTATTGAAATGACTGAATTATATTTTTTATATAATCGTGTTTAAAGGAATAATGTGCCTCTGAATATTTCTTCCACAATATTGTATTCATATACAGTAACAAGTATATTGTTATCTGTTTAACATAATTGTTATATAATTTTCATACATCCGTATTTATATTGTCACTATAATTATATTCATATTTTTTAAATGAATATTAACTCATTTTTTTTTATATATGTTACAATTGATTTTATATAGTTGTTGATTCTGTTCATAATATTTTCATTTATCAAATGTTAATTATAATTAATACTTGATGTGACAGTTGTTTTTCCTGTTACCTCACTTTGAATATGGCTAGCATACATTGTATCAACATCAAACATTAGATCTTATAATCTTTGACACATTTGTATTTTAAAATCAAGATAAATAAAACTATATATGTAAATAATGATTGAAAATATTTAAAATTTATTTTCCTATTTGAATTATAAATTTGCAATTGAGGGAAAAAATTAGTAAAGATTTATTTGTATAATATTTTATGGCCATTGGTAAAATTTCTTTCTTTTTTTCAATTGTCACTAATGTGAGAGAGTATTTCGTATTGAATATTCGTGAAATCCATAGTCAAAAAATTATCAAAAATATATTCGTGACGTAATCTACTACTTAAGTTTTTAACGAACTGTGATAACATGAAAAACTGTTGAATAGCTGATATGATAAAAAAAGCAAATATAAGTGACGTTGATGCACAACTACTATATAAAGAAGTATCACAGGTGAAGTGCCAATGAAGTTGGTAAGAATTTGTTTAGCAATGAGCAAACCGGTTGTGACTGTGAAGCAAGGAAAATTAGAAGGTGCAGAGCTGAAAAGTGCCCTGGGATTATCATATCTAGCTTTCAGAGGGATACCTTTCGCTGCTCCTCCTGTCGGAAATTTGAGATTTAAGGTATGTCCTTTCCGACATTTCAATACTTTTCCTTGGGATATGAGATATTGACATCTTTATCATCAGGTGTTAATCATCGTTTCAATCACGTATTAATCAAGTAAATATCATCATTATTTATTGGACGAAATGTTGAATAATTTTAATGTATAATTCTAATCATACAATTTAAATAATTTGAAATTTATCGTAACCCCAATTAAATACACATAAAGAGAATACAAATAAAATTCAAATATGTAATTCGCTTAGTTGGTTAAGCAGTATGTTATGGCAGGTTATGGTAGGTTATATTAATTTCTTTTTTTTTTCGCCAACAAAAAAGGATCCTCAACCACCTGTACCATGGACTGGTATCAAGGACATATCCAAAGATCAAAAATACTGTGCCCCACAAAAGGAAGAACTTGCACCTTTCGATATTATAGGCGACGAGGATTGCCTTTATTTGAACGTGTACACGAATTCTCTCAATCAATCAAAACCAGTTATGTTTTGGATTCACGGAGGTGCATTCATAGTCGGCAATTCGAGCTTCAGCCAGTCAAGACCTGATTATTTACTCGCGAAGGATGTTGTAGTTGTTTCAGCTAATCACAGACTTGGCGCATTTGGTTAGTTTTAATTAATTTTTGGTAATACGTGGCAATGCCACGTATATTTCTGCCAGCTAGGATATAGATTATTCATAGAAAAAAATTTAAAAGAGAATTTTTAGTTCCTCTAGTAAGGAGAAAAAGATCGGAAATAATTAATTTTTTTTAATTTCAAGGATTTTTAAATTTGGGTCACCGAGTCGCTCCAGGAAATTTCGGCCTGAAAGATGTAATCGCGGCCTTGGAGTGGGTCAAGGAAAATATTGGCAACTTCGGCGGAGATCCCAATAATGTTACGATTTTTGGAGCCAGCGCTGGAGGAGCTTTAGTCCATTCCTTACTCATATCACCTCGTGCGAAAGGTAAAACATGATAATGAAAATAATGAAACGTGAAAATCTCTAATCATATCTTTTATCGATTTATTTTTATCAATTTATTTTCGAAATTTTTAATCAATTCTTTTAATTCAACGTTGTTAGGATTGTTTCACAAGGCGATTTTGCACAGTGGAACACTGTATTGCTCTTGGGTAACTCGAGACATGAAAAATCATTCTGCATACGGTTTTAAGCTTGTTTCAATCCTTGGAAAAGATACCACTGATCCTGTCGAAGCTGTTGAATTTTTACGAACGGTGCCCGCTAAAGACATTGTGAAAGCTCAAGAATCCATTTTATCTTCGGAGGCAACAAATTTTCCTTTCATATACATCATAATTATAATAAAATATTGGACACTGAAACAAACAGAATTCCATGTATTCTTATAGGAAATGAAATCATTTATTCTTGTTTACGGAGTTGATCATGATGCAGTTGCGGAAAATCCTGTTTTACCACAACCAATTGAACAATTGTTTCCAAATGATGCAAACGTACCTGTAATTATTAGTTACTCTGAACATGAATATATCATGTTCCTGAAAGGTGGGTTTAGTTAAAAAGAAAAGAAATGAAAAATTCAGTGCAGGAACATTGATACTATACAATTTTATATTTTTTTTTAGATAAAAGCGAAAAAACGATGAAGGATTTGAATCAGATGCTGTATACGCATGTGAACAACTTGAGATCATCGATGAAATTAGAGGACGCGGAAGTTGAAAAATTATTCGAGATGGTGAAAGATCGATATTTCGGTGGAAAACCAATCACCGAAGAAACATTATCCAACTTATCAAAATTGCTTTCTATTATTTATTTCGGCAGTCCCGCGATGACGATGTTAAAGGATCGAGTGAAAAGAATGACTGCGCCTAATTATTTTTGTGTATTTTCGTACGTTGGCAATGAGAAAACTCAAACAGATCTCTTAGTAAAACGACAGATTTCTGGTGACTGTATTTTTGTAGTTTATCATCAGTATTTATTAGACTGCATGATTATATTAATAGATTGTATACGAGACAATCAAATAGAATATTTATTCTTATATTTTAGGAGCTTCTCACGTAGATGAGATGGCGTATTTACTATATTTACCACAATGTAAAATTGAGAATCCTGATCCACCAGCGATCGGTACGAAAGACAGGATTACATTAGAACGAATGACTAAAATGTGGACGAATTTCGCTAGGACAGGGTAAATTTTAAACGCGATTTTGAAAAAAATTTGACTTGTCTTTCAGATTTTATATATTATAGTTATATTTAATATAGGGATCCTACTTCAGTTAAAGACGAGTATGTCAATGTCACTTGGAAACCTGCAACGTCGAAAGAGCTCTGTCAGTTGATAATTGGCGACGAATTACAGCTATTGCCTCTTCCACAAGATATTTTATTTCCCAAATAGATTTCATCGATTTTCTTATTATTTCAATTGTTTTTAAAAGGGTTTTTATTTCTTTTTAATCACATAACTTATAATGATACATGTAATCGTTTTCTTACGTTTAAAAGAAAGACGAAAAGTGTAAAGGAAGTAATAAATACATTACATATTATATAATCTACGCTTGTAAAGTATTGCTTTGATAGCTATTTACACGCATCATAAATTTTCCTTTCGCTTGCAATAACATAATCAGAATTCATCGAAGTCATCGAGGATATATCTACATATGCAAATGTTAATGTTAAAACCTAACTTCAATTATGTTTCGAGATTGAAGAATATTATTTCGATACAATTTCGATTCAAAAGAAAAAAATAAATAATGGCAATGAGATAATGGTTATCATAATTGTCTCAGACTACGTGGGACTGATATCTCTTTTTTCTTTTCTTGCGATAAAATTCCCTTATCGTGTAGATTAATAAATTGTTTGCTTTTAATTTTCACTAATCAGTACATCGTTAGGTGAATCTCACATAGTAATGCGTGTGCACTTAAAAAAAAAAAACCTTACATATCACTATAAATTCTATTCGTGACTTGAGAACATGAAAATAAGACTTTTCAAGTGCATAGAGTTTCAGTCGTACAATTTTAAAGATATCATTTTATGCGATTTACTTTCAAGTGTCATCATTGATATACTCATATGCACGGTTTATTTATTCCAAAAGGCAAAGGCCTTTTGTATCCTTTCATTGTGAGGTTTCCCCGTCACCATACTAACCGCAGGATACGTGCGTTGTGATATTTGCGGGACGTTCGTCGGTGATTTCGATGTTGCTGCCTCTTTCTCGAATAACTTAGCTGTACGACTTACATTTCCGGTCGGAACGAACTTGCTATGAATTCTTCCGATTAGTAACCTTGGGTCCTCAATTTCGCTAGACACTAAAAACATACAAATTCGTGTATGTGCTTGTCACTTATAGTTCTAATAGTAGGCATCTATTACTTAGATCGAATTCAGTTAGTTGAAAATGAAAAAATAAAGAAATTGCATATTGAACACACCTTCATGCTGTCGATTAATTTCACGCGAAGCTTTAGTCACACCACTCAGCGTAGCTACTTCGATACTTTTTTTGGTATGTTTCTTTGGATCCGAAACCTCTACGTTTCCTGTGTTCGACACTTCGCTAATTTCCTCGAGCGACGTCCGATTTTCAAATTGCTCCACCTTTTGGGACACGTTTCCATCATCATTATCATTATCATTATCATTATTATTCCCATTGTCCACTTCTTCTTCTTTGATCGACGAAATACCCAGTTCGTTCACTTGCTGCGAGGACGCGGACAAATTCGAAATGCAATCACCGATCCCAGAATCACGCGAATCACCTCTGAAAACTCGACGCGACTTCTGCGAGCTAACATTGGACCTTTGGTCCGCCTTCTCTTTCAATTCCCTTTCTATTTCCACTACCAAATCTTCGCTGGCTGTTTTTTCATCGACGTTCCACCCCGAGTCCTTGCATTCTGTAGTTATTGATTCTTCAGAATTAATCTCATCACTTATCGTCGTTTTCGTCACGACCTCGTCCCGAAGTAAATCCCGCGACTGCGATTCATCATTGAAATCAATCGAACATTTCTCCTCGACACTCGTCAAAATCGAAGTTTCTTCGGTTATCGAGATACGCTCCTCGAACTGACATCGCGTCACGATCTCGGTTTCCTCCTCGATCCTCTCCATAGGAAGCAATCGCTCTGACTGAACTTCACTCTGGGCTCGAGTTTTCCCGGTGGTATCAGTTTCTTGAATGCCTGCGGATTCATTTCCCTGAGAACACGATCCCGCGCGATCCGTCGTCGGTTCATTTTTCAATGACGACTCGTCAAGGTCCGACGATATGCGCGTCTCCTCCTTTCGAGTCAAGTCTAACGTTTCCTCTGGCACGAGGTTTACCTCTGACTTGTAAGAGAACGAGTACAAGTTCCCATCTCGAGTATCCAGCTCGTTCGGGCTCGGGCCGTACTTTCCTATCGCACTTTCAATGTCGCACGATTTTTTATGATTCTGCTCGTCCGTTGAAACGTCAAAGTTGATCGTTCGCGGAGATTCGATGGAACTTGAGGGATCCAAGGTTGGCGATGATTCCGCCGTGGTTGTTGGACTTCGTCGGCTGTTCGCTGAAAGGATCGCCATTCTTCCCAGTGCACGAATGGCATTTCCTGTTTTCTATCGCAACAAACGAAAGCGCACGCACACGCAACACAATGAAATCCATGCTTAAATTAATATGGTGTCAACTATGGTGCCAAATTTTTGTTCGGCCCTGAGAGGAGCAAACTAATTTGCAATAAACAAGGAATCTGTGTAACTAGAGTGGATGAATTGAAAGGCTTACGGTTCGTATTTGTTTCTTTCTAGGAATACAGTGTATACAAAGTATATGAACATGTTATGAAACTGTATCAAACTAAATCATAAAATTGTAAATCTTACAAAGTCTATATAATCTATTTTCATTCTGCAATAAGTGAAAATATTAATTAATTTTTACGAATTTAAATTTAGAATAATTTCATTATCCGAAAAGTTGAACTGAAATTTTTTTATACGTAAATTTTGTGGTTTCGGAAGAGGTCATATTAATTTTTGAAAAAAAAAAAAAAAACAGAAAAATCTTTTATGTACTAAATGTAGACTATTTCACAAGATATAATTTACAGATGTTTCAGGGTTCATCAATATCAAATTGCATGCCTTAAGTCGAGTTTTTAAACAAGCTCAAACAGTTGCAAAAATTGCAAAACATTACAACAACGAACGATGCAAAACATTAAAGCAACAAGCACCAAATTAATTCTTACCTGCCACTTTCTTCGTACGATGAATTTCTTCAATTTTTCTGTCGGCAATGCTATCCTACTCATCGCTTCTGCGTGCTGTGCCATCCAAGGATGCTCCAAACACTGTCTTGCCGACATTCGCGATCTGTAAATCCATTCGTACAATAAATTAATTATAATCACTTTAATATAAACAATGTGAAGAAAATTTGACCGATATATTTGATTGCTAGACTGCAAATCTATATTTTTAAATAATGAGTAATAACTTAGGCAGATATGTATTTCATTTATTACATGTTCAAACAAACATTGAATTTTGGATATTTTGTAATATATGTTATGTATTTCCATGTGTTTAAATTTGTTATAAATTAAAAATTTACAGTTCGTTGATCATAAACCAGCACTGAATTTAATTTTATATAGATTGAATATTGAAAAATTTGTTTCCATCCAATATAAATAAGTAAACTCGTTAAGTTGTGTACAAAACGGCGAAAGAAATTATATATATATATATATATATATATGCAACGTAGTAAATGTTGAAAGTTAAAACACGTACTCCTTTCGTTTGACAAGCAAGCCGCTTATAAAGTCTTTAGCGTCATTCGAGATTGCATTGAACGCTTCATCCTCCAGGTCGTAATCAGCTCGAGTGATGTTAGCGAAGGTTTCGGCGTCATTGTCGCCCATGAATGGCGACAAACCGGTCAAGCTAAACATTTACAACTACTGTTAACTATGTAACGAATTCCTAAAGATTACAGTCTAAGTATCTTGATCGCTTACAGCACGTAACAGATTACACCGACGCTCCACATGTCCGACTCGGTACCGATCGGTTCGTAACTTATTATTTCTGGCGGTATGAATTCTGGCGTGCCGAAAAGGACTCTGATCGGCGTGTCTGGCTTGAGAGTCTGTGCCAGGCCGAAGTCAATGAGCTTTACTTGATGGGAAGTTCGTGTTCTGCACATTATATTCTCGGGCTGTAAACGTAGTAAAGGTGTAATGAAGTTCAATTAAAAGAAAATTGAAATTAAGATTAAATTAGATAATTTCAGTTTATTTGAATAGCAATGTCACACTTCTCTTGTGTGAAAATTTAGCGACAAAGTTTTTTTCTCTTTTTACCTTCAGGTCCAAGTGTACTACTTTGTTCTCATGCATATATTCGACACCCTCGCAGATTTGTCTCATAAACAGTATGCTATCTCTTTCAGTCAGGGTGAAATCGTCGGCAACCACTCTCTCGAAAAGTTCGCCGCCAGAAATGCTAGAAGAGTACGTTTTGTAAATTAATAAATTGAATTTATAAATCAAGTCGTGCTTATTTTAATTTAACGTCGAAGCTTACTATTCGGTAACCATCACGATTTCTCGGGGACTCTCGAAAGCAGCTGCCAGAAGGAGCAGCTTTGGATGTCGCAGCATGTTCATAATTCGAATTTCCTCTCGAACTTGCTCTCGATCCTTCGTTTTGATAGTCCTGACAAATTTCGCCGCGAAACTTGTACCTGAAAACTTCTCGACCACCCTTCTTACAGTTCCGTATCGACCTTTCCCCAACTCCTCCAATACTTGATATCGATCGTTGAACAATTGTCCATCTTCCATTTCTACGATTCGAGCCTCGAACGGTGGCTTGAATTCTGGAAACGATAAATATTTTCTTCATTACATACAGAACATTTCCTTAATCGTCAAATACGTATTATTCAATTTATGTTGATTGCTAAATTCTTATTTTCTTACATTCTCCAGAGGAACAAAAATTACATTCTTACATTCCGAAACAAAGATTAGTAATAAGACTCAATTGAATTAAGAAATTTGAAAACTAAACAATTTACTCTGAATTTTCAGTGCCACGATAATACCAGCAAATCTCTTATCGTTAAAAACATTAAACTTTCTGTTCGTCAAGGCGACACTGACTTCAAACATAAAAGGCCGAAGACCGCGGTAAGATTAAAATACATTGTCTCTTTTGCAAATTCATATTTACCTTCCTCGTCGTTCTGCAGACACGTCTCACCTTCCTTCGGAATTCGAACGAATTCAGATTCCTGTCCAGGTTCGCTAACCCCGTGGATGTTTTCAGCTCTTACACGGAAACGGTACCTCTCACCAGGTGTCACGGTCTCTGTTTCGACGGTCGATATCGTGAGGCTCAGCGAGAGACAGGATTCAGCGATCGTCACCCAAGTGTTTCCACCGGCACCGTTCATTTCCACAGTATAACCGGTTACTGTGCAACCACCATCGTAGGGAGATGACCGCCAGTTGATGGTCGCTGTCCCCGTGGAGCAACATACGTTCGGAATACCTGCTGGCGGGTCAGGTGGACCTGTGAAAAAAATTTGCGGACGTGTATTTAATTTCTTAGGACGCGATTATGTTTGACAAGAATTGTGAAAGTTAGTAAACAGTGGATGTACACTGTTGTTCATGAGTCACATAAATCGTTAATATATTTAGATTGGGTATAAATGAATATTAAAATTGCAAAATGAAGCTGACAATTCTTAATTGCGTATGTAGTACGAGGAAAGTAGATTACAGATTATGTTTCGAAGATTTCGTACTAAAGTTTTATGTTTGAAAGATTATGTTTCGTGACTTATCTAAGGACAGGAGTGCTCCAAATTTACTAATTACAAGATTGATTCAAATCTACATATTTACGAAGCATTTCATTACATTTTTATATTCTCTGCACTTTTGATTATTTAAAATTTCCCCAAGTGCAGAACAACAATCGAAGTTTGAAATAAATTATGTACTTAAGTTATATCTACCTTCTATTTTCAAATGTTTCATACTACGAAAAATATAAAGAATTTCTAGTTAGACCCTGTAGTGGAACGCTTTGTAAGACCACTTGGAACATGTGTCGCCTCGCTGTTGTATCGTTTGTTTTTAAGCCGGCCAGTTTTTCTTAAACTTATTCGCCGCTAAAGAATGTATCAAGGACGTCATGTTCGACGATCGATTTGAAATTATAAACAAGAACCGTTCGAACCATACTTTCTTTTTTCCTTTCGATTTAACCTCGCCAATCGATTAAATTAAACGTAAAGTATCTTGAAGTAACAAAAGTTACAAATCTCTGTACAACGGATAAAAATGAATCATTCGTTTCCATAAGATTTATGAAAGACTTTTACTACGGGATATTATCCTGCAAACTGCTATCATCACGTCACGTGTGATAACAATCGATCATTATGACAATTTCATACAACTTCTCGCGAATATTTTGATTTTCGCAATGCGTTTGACAGCCGGTTGGTTGGAAATAACTCTTCATTACCCATTTCTTCTCTGAAAATTTCTTCCCTTTTCCTCGACGATAACGACACTCCACGAAACAACACTGAACTTTGAAAGTTGTTTCGAACAACTAGACGAAATTGCAACGTGAGAATTTCTCCGTGTTCACGGGGCGGCGAATCATTCTAGACAATTATCGACTTGCTCGAGCTTCCACGGCGCACGCACGTTTTTCAGAACTGGTTTGTTTTGTCGTGGATCTCGAGGAAAGAGGAAGTGTAGACGAAGCTGATGGTGGGGCGATGGAAGAAGAATCGAGGGAAGGAGGAATTATTGCGCGATACGTCACGTGAGACTGTCGTCTGCCTTGTACATAAGAAGCGGAATTGGACCGTGTGACACGCGCTTACGCACGCGGAACAATGGTTGTCGCGTTCTAAATTGCGTTTCCAGACACCGACATAAATGACAAAATTCGAAATCGGTCGAAATCTATCGTTTCAATTGGGCCGAAAGGATTCTTAGGAGTCTCTTTTGTCTCTTTTTTTGTTTCTCTCATCATTGTATTTATTACATCGTTTTCACGCTAATTAATCCGGTCTTTTTTAAGTATATTAAATTTTCTACTATTTGGCAATATTTTCGTATAACTGCAAACATTTAGTACTAAAGGAAATGAAAGATAGATTCTGATAAAAAATGATTCATTGAAATGTGCTAATATGTTTTTTACTGTATATGTGTATTTTTTAAAGAATCCTAGACGTTTCGAAATTAATGAAAATATGATTGTTTGTCTCTTTTTCATTCCTACGAGACGCGATAAATTCCGAAAGTAATGAAATTAATTACATTTGCTTGAGATTTTTTAAGATTTCCCGCGTTCCTCGCTTTATATCTTTTCAAAAGGTTGCAACAGATTTTGAAAGTTTAGAATTACTTGTTTTATTTCTATGAATTTTTGACACTTTGTCAAAAGAGAAGCTTCGAAATTAATTAGAATGATTGATCAAAATAATTGGGGAATTCATTCGATCGAACGTTTCTACGATTCACTTTCCTCGCTTCCACGAATTTTCTCGATTTTTCTCACTGAATCGTATGTTTCACTGTGAAGTACATTGTCGTGTATTAATTAACAATTTTCTACAACAATTCGATTAGTGAAAACGTTTCTGTTTGATGCATTCGCTCCGAATAAGTAACCATTATATTTACTTCTGCCTCACGTTTCTTTTCTATTCTAGTGCATCAGGTAATATTAATTTTTGTGGAAGAGAAGACGGATATAGTAATCACATTGTAACTTGTATGTAGCTCACACTTAATTATGCTCTACAAGATAACGTCAAACTACTAATGTCCCTGATATCATAAACTATCTTTAGTTTCATACAGTTCGTAGACGGAAACAGGCATGTGTTTTATGCTATGTATGTTTATTACATACATGAGATCATGAGTTTAAACGGGTGATGTAACACCGTTCATTTCACAGCTCTGTAAATATGCATCGCTTCTTAGTATTTGTGGTCCTTGTTTATGCAGGCAGTTTGAACAAGTATTGTAAGTGTTCTACTTTTACATGAGCCTACATTTACATGAAAAAAATCAATGCAATTTTTCTACAATTTTAAATTATTATTCGATATAACTAATGATTCGTTGGTTAATTAGTATCGTTTGGACTTTGGGAGCCATAACGATTTAGGCTTAAATAGATACATTACTTAGCATCGGAATTTTTTAGTTGATTGAATTTATTTAGTCTGCGGATATGTAAAGTATAATAATAATATGTATGACATAAGGATATATATATACAATAAATAATAAAATTTTGAGAAATTTTGCACTCTAAAATCCACAGTTTATGTTAAACAATCAAAATTTTAGTAATCTAAAATAAATTACTACAACCATTTATAACCCAACGGTACTACATTTAAAGATTAATATTTCTATCACGTTGTTACCTTCGACAGCAACACTGAAACACCGTCGATCTCTTCCCAGTTTATTTTCCACGGACACCTCGTATTTTCCGGCATTGTCAGCAGTCACATCGTCCGATATCAAGCAAGACACTCCACCGCCATAGGTGATCGCAGTCTTTTTGTTTGCAGTCAACTCTCGACCCTTTAATAAAAATTCTCGATCAAATACTTGATTGAACGTGAGTAACTGTGAATAGTCGCGCTACGAGCGACTGCGACTGACTGATAGACGCTCATAAACGATTCTACGGACACATACGTGCAAGTAACCTACTCACGTGAACAACTATAGAGGTACATATCTGTTAGTTACTATATTTATATAATTGCAAATGATCGTACGCGATTATACGGAATTAAATACGTCATTGAAGTCCCAATTTTTATTAAGATACAATTAGATCTTATTAAGGTGATATTACTGTTATCTCTTGAGTATATACATTAGTGACTCACGAGAGTGTTTGAATATTTATTACAGGAAATTTGTACGGATCTGCAAAGTAACTAGCTGACTAATGTATACGTAAATTCAACTAAAAGAATGATCTTTTAATCCTCTAAATATAATGACAACTTTGTTTCATATTTTGTTCAGTCCGAGATACGTTTCTTACATTTACAAATCGACAAAGATCAGAATAAATATCAGAATGTAATATGTAAAAATTACAAGACGTTTACAATATATCGTTAAATATATCGAAGTCCATCAATGTAATATGAATTGACAGTTTAAATATTCTGATTTCTGTGAACTGTACGTTCGCAACAAATATTTTATAACTTCTACATAGACTTTCGAATTTGTACCAAACTTTGCCAATGTACTCGCGATACTTATTTTAATGTTAATGAAATTTATATCACATACAGCATATTTATAAAAGATTTCAAGTGCTCTATTTCCGGAGAGTATACTGATTTCATTTAATGAACTGGCGATACCACGCGAAGAAAGATTGCCTTGTCCAGCAACAGTAGTGTCTTTAATTATATCAAGAACAAAAATCTTCTTGTATTCTCTACATCTCTATTAATATAAATGCTCTGGCTGCGTTGAACACATTTGACGTTTTGACAGAAAAATCTAAAGAAAGAAAGATATAAGTGATATTCACCGCTCGAAGCCACTTGACGATTGGTTCCGGATGGCCTTGATACGTGACCCTGAGGACTACTCTGTTTCCACGGAAAACCGTGACGTCAGCCGGTACCTTTACAATACTAGCAGCCACGAATTCCTCCGATCTAATTGCAACTTTCTCCTCTTTCGTCACAATCATTTCGCTCTTCTCTACAATTGAACCCAGCTCCAATTCTTGCAGAGCGCTCTCCATGCATATTATAGGCGTATCATCGTGCTTATTATAATTATCCTGAATTTGTTTCGCACCGTTATCAGTCTTAAGCGAGTCAGAAAACTTCGACGAACTCTGTACAGCTTCCTCTTTGTTTTCTACTAATTTCGAAACTTTGTCGTTCGATACTTCGGAAGATTTTTCTCTGGAAATATCCTCGTCCTCCGAAGACGACGAAATCTCCTGTTGGCACACTCGTTGCGTAACTTTGCGTTCCAACTTTTTGGGACGAACGTCTTTCCTTTTGTTGGTCGCCAGTGTTTTTCTGGCGTCAAACGGCGGACTTGGAGGAATATTTTTCCTCGCAGGCATAGGAGATTGTTTGGGACTGGGAGTAGATCTGAGAGGTAACGAGGATGATCTGGTTCGTACAGGAGACTCGTATCGTTGATTTCGGTGGGAAGGTGGAACGTCTCTTGTCTTTCTGAGGGAATTGTTACGGCTACAACTAGGGGGTTTCGGTGGTTTTTCGTTTTTAATTTCGCACGCGTTATGGCATGTCGAGCCTTCGAAATTTTGCACTGTCCGGCTTAGTCTCAATTCTGCTGTGCAACTGATTGATAGCCCTTTTCCAATCACGGACGCAGTGCATCGAATCTCACCGGTATCTCGCGGTTGCACGTCGTGTATCCTAAGAATGCTAACGTTATCGTCTTTTTCAATCTAAATGCAAACGAAGGGAGATACTTTTATAAGTTGAGTAAGAAACAAATTGCAAGTAAAAATATTTAAAATATTTCTTCGTGGGTGGACGTACCTTGCACCTTGAGTTTTCTCTAACGTCCTTTCCATTGATCGTCCACATGATCTCCATTGGTTTTCCACATTGCACTCGAGAACAGAAACAGACAGTCTCACCTTTGAACGCGATGACTGACACTGGAGTTTTCGTGAACTGTGGCGCCAATTTCGGAATACCTTTGTAATCTGTGCAGAAAACAAAATATTCTTTTATTCGTTGCTGTAAAATTGAACTCCCTGAACAAAAGTTCAAGAAAGTAATGAAATTAAAATGTTAAAGTAGCAGAGAAGTTTTAAATGAAATACCTATGAGAATATTAAGATATCATAAAAAATTGTAGAAGAAGCTTAGAACAAAATATCAATGTTAAATGTATAATTTTAAATTGGTGCATGATTGAATCTTCGAACGAAATGCACGTAAAAACATTTAAGAGGCATCGAATATTAAATATTTAATTATGAGAGATATCCTATCTGTGTTGCATGAGTCATATCCTGTGGTCAAATATCTCGTCTGTAGGTGTACCTAAAAATGAATTTTCAAATAAAATTTCACCTTGAACAGCAAACAGGCCATTGCTGGATGCTTCTCCGAAATTGTTGCGAACGAGGCAAGTGTACTCGCCAGCATCTTGTGGACAAACATTGGACAATCTCAAAGCGACACCACCATCGCCATATATAACGTATTTATGGCAATCGTTATCAGGTATCTCACGACCGTCCTTTAACCAAGTCACCGAAAAAGGTGGTGTACCTGAAAAACAAGATTTCATATCCGTTGAATCATATCCTCGACCATTTATATTAATTGGCGCAATTAATTTTATCCCTTATGAGTCGAAAGAATTCATCGCAGGCATATTACAGGCCACATTGATCAACTCCATAAATTGAGAAGTAGATATATAACTCGTGACAGCAAGTTAGCTATGGAATTTCAGATTATTTATGACATTCTGCTGATAATTTCACTATCATATATATTCATAGATACGATTTTTGAGAAATTGAGCATTAATCGTTAAATAGTTAAGAAATGAAATAGAAATTTAAGGCTATTAGTTGCTCCGTTTGGCTTTTGGAAAGTTCAGTAAAAAGTGGAGGACTCTAGAAATTTACGGATCAAAATTGATTTATACCTGTGAGTCTCGTTTGAAGCTCATAACAGTGATCTTCCATGACGATCGATTCCTCTGGGAGGGATTGTAAAAATTTCGGTGGATCCTTGTCGCACGTAGATGGATTATAAGGATCAAGAACGGTCACCTGCGATTACGAAAATCATTGTTTCCCATCGTAAGAAAATAATTTTGCACAAGTATACGTCTGTATGTCGCGTTATTAGCATACGATTAAGGTCATTTACCTGACAAGAATTTTTCGTAGAACCAAGGACGTTCGTTGCCACGCACGTGTACTCACCCGCGTCGCTCGCTTTCACTTTTAAAATTTCGATTTTCGCAGTTTTGCCGTCGAAGTACCTTTTTACTCGAATCGATCGTTCCAACGGTCGTCCATTTCTGAAATCGTTCATTGTTTAAACCAAACCTTTTTGCTTTTTCGTTGATTCATTTGAAAGAAACTACGTGAAAACTGTGCTCTCGGTTTTTAAAACTTTGTATTCTCCTTTCCACTACACCCTTGGCGCTGATTTGCGACTGAAGTGGAAATAGCGATTCTACTCTAGGAAACTAGAATTTATTCAATCCTGCCTAAACTACAAAAATTCGAGATTCGACGCAGAAGGAATTAGATGGCTAACCATTGTCGCAAGATCTTCTAGACAGAGATTTTTGTTGTTGGATAGTGAAAGACAGGCATGGAAAAACTAAAATGTTCTTTGAGATAAAAATTTTGGAGGTCTCAAGTCTAGCTTTTCGAGCTCAAAGGCGACAATAGCGAGATGCAACCTTATTTTGCTAGCTTGAAATTATATCCTTCATAGTTGAGATTTCCCTCAAGCGTGAAATAAATCCTTCTCTCTTCTTCAGTTTACACGATAGGCGATTATATTTTTTGAAAAAATAGTGTAGCAAAAGAACTATCCAATTGGATAGAATCAGAAAATTAACTTCATCCTCAACTTCACAAGTTCGATTGAGTAATCAGCGACTATCGAAGAAATAATCTATTATAATAACTTTGGTAAATTTCTCGCAATGTAGAAAGAGTTAGGAATACCAATTGTACGAACGAAAAAGTTTTACCTGAACCATGTTGGTGTTGGGCTAGGCGTTCCTCTGATGCCGCAATCGAGGTATAATCTTCCGTTTATTCTGCTAGTCGTGTCTAACAGACTTCGACTAAATGATGGATACGTTCTAGGCGATGCACTTCTGGTTCTGATTGTTCTGGCAACCGATCCAAGTAACTGACGATCTTTTCGAACAAATAATAAAAATTATATGAATTGATAACAGTGAATCCTATTGAATGTCCATTTAAAAATATTCATTTTTCTTGTAACATCAATTGTTGCATATATTTTATAATTATTTTATAATTATTAATTATATTTGTAGAAAATACAAATCTGCAAAACCATAAAAATATAGTATATAAATATATAAATATATAAGCATATAAATACACAAAATATTCAGGATGTAGCACTTGTTATGATATTTAGCGAGTGGAAAAAATTTCTTTTATTTTGTTCACAAAAATTTAAATTTGCAGAATCTGTGTATATATCTGAGCAAAGAATTTTGTCTGATTGAATTGTTGATCACTCTATTAAGTTTACCCTAATGTAAGAGATGAAACGTACTTATTACTTCCAGGCGAGCACTGGCTTCAATACGACCATAATCGTTCTCCACGATCACTCTGTACAGTCCGGCGTCTTCCTGGGTCACCTCGACGATTTCCAGTATCTTCACGTCGTCTCTTTCTTTTATTGAAATTCTCGCAGTCGGCGTGACGATTATACCATTTTTGTCCCATTTCACCCACGGAGCCGGATGGCCGACCACAGCGCACTGGAATCGCACGGTTTCTCCCTCCTCGACCACTCGATTATGCGGAACCGCGTAAAATTTCGGCGGACTGATCTTTGGTCGTCTTGACATCGACCTACTTCGTGGAAGAAGCTGCGGAGACCTTAACTCTCGACCATCTGCAATTGTTACATTGTCCTTTCGATCTCGTGAATACTTTTCAGCAACAGAAAACATTGATCAGCAATAATTTCAATGAATAGATTTCTCAGTATAATAAAATTCACTTAACGTAATTAAACAGCAGTTCAATAATAATAACAGGAAAGGAAAAATAATTTTACAAATGAGGTAAATCTAATGGATTGCAGTATTTAAATTGTCCTGATTATACGTTATAAAATTGAAATTAAAATTTTACGGACGAGAGGTAGTGTTATTCTGAATTTTACTTCAAGTTAAATTTACTTTAGTTAAATTATTATTAGATTAATTGTTAGTGGTGTGTATTTTCCAAATTATTGTAAAAACGAAAATTACAAGAATCTGATTTTATCGATCTACTCTTACACTTACGCGAAACTGCAGGAGACAAAGTCCTAATGGGTGTCGAGCGTGGTGTCGATCTTGGTGTAGATCCTGCTGACAGAAGTCCTGCCGGCCTCGTCAGTCTTTGGCTCAGTACATTCTCTTTCCCTTCAGGCACTGAAATGTATTGAAACAAAATAATAATTTACAATTTACATGTAGCTTTCCATATTTCCCCGACGAATATTTCAAGAAATACGTAAAGTAGCAAACGCGTTTCTTATCGCGAGAAATGTCAATAAAGCAGGGATCTGGCTGCACTCGATAGAGGCGATTTACGTTGCAGACACAGTAATTGAATATTTGAAGCGAAGGTTTCGCGTATTTGTATCACCTGGCGTTCCCATATTGCCTTATTAAACGATCGTGAATTAAACGCGAAATTACCATCCACTATTAGACACGCTGACGTGAATGCTTTCCCAAGGTCGTTATATGCCACGCATGTGTACTCGCCCTCGTCTTCCGGATATACGTGCTGGATGCACAGACGTGCGGTCTCTCCGTCGAATTCAGCAGAGAAATCGCCCCCCATTTGGAGAATCTAAACGGTGAATATTAATTCTTGTAAAATTGTCGTTGTTGCGTTTCTAAATTACCGTACAATGGCGCAATATTAGACTGTAAATTTTCACGTATTAATTATATTTAAATATATAACAATTTACAAAGTATAACATACAAAATATTCTATATTCAAATATGAAGTTATATTAATTTAATAAACAAATTGAGATTCCAATTTTTTAATCGTGCAAAAGTATCCGTGAAACATGATAAAAGTA